CCCCCCCCCGTGCTGCTAGCAGATCTACCATGCTTGTATCCAGACACACAAACAGCTGCCTGGTTTCTACACATCACACCATGGGAAGAAGGGCCGCGATTGTAGCAGCCACTGGCGTGATCATTTCCGGCACTGCTGCCAGATGCAGCCGCCGACGCCCCGCCGTTTGATGATGTGCGTTCAAATCACCAGCGTTCCCCCGTGCAAATCGCCTGCAGGAAAATGGGCACCGACGCCATCTTCGGCCCCGTGAAGGCGACAGTCCAAGCCGCCTGTGGCCAGAAAAGCGATGCCAAGGAGACGATGAAGAACTTCAAGGAGGGCAACCCGGCCGTCCTGATGGTCCGAGGAGCCTACCACACAGCCGGCGGTCGTCCCAAGAAGGGGAAAGAGCTCTGTAAGAAGGGTGCCAAGAACACCGCCTCGATTGTCAACGGCGTGGCGAACGCCACTCCTGTGGTGGGTCACGTCAAAGCGGGCTATCACTACGCTCGCAAGGACAAGGAGGCCGGCCATAAGGCGATGAAGAGCGCCAGCAGGTCTACCGCGGGCTGTGTGGGAGCCGCGGCAGGCCTCTCCGCTGGTCTTGGCCCGGGGGCCGTGGCAGGATATGTGGCTGGCGTCAGCGCAGCGGACGGCGTCATTTCGTGTTAGGGCTTCAAGACTTGACGTGGAAACCAGGAACAGGCACGAAGTGCATACAAATATATATAGGCTACCGTCCCGCTTCTTTCATGAGACGCACGGGCCAGAAACGGAAGCTCACGCGTCAAGTACTTGCCCAAAGTCCTTCGATGAAAAGTTGTTCAAAAACAAGGGCACGCCATAAATAACACCGACTAGGTACTCATGCGCGTGCCCACGAAGCTTAGCTGTGACCGTCCGCCGGCGTTCGATCCCCGCAAGGTCCTAAAACGCCCCACGCAGGCTGAGAGAGTTCTCAGGTAGGAAACCCGCATTCAGGTTTTTAGTTTCAGGTTGTTTGCCCGCAACGAAAACTCTGCCCCGTACTATTTCACCGCAGATGCACGGCTGATCGGCCTCATTCCGGCGCCTATCTCATGGCACAGTTCAGGAGGACAAAAAACATTGAACTTTGATCGTCTTCATGGCGCTCATCGAGGATACGACAACGGCACGAAACAACTTCCAGTAGGGGCAGCGGATCATAGCGCGCACATCGATCATCACCCATCGAGGCAAATACTGATACCTCACACGTCCGTCCGTTGTTCGTGCGGGTGTTGCCTCCCCAGCTGTTGGCTCAATGTTCCACGGCGAGAGGCGGTTGCACGGAAATGCCGCCGCGTGGGGCGAGGTCATCGAGAATCCGTCCGTCGGCAACGCTGTCGAGGTGGTCATCGGCCACGGGATGGATGTCCTAGGAGGGATATGTGTTGGATCTGGCCTTGGCGACGCCGTCGGGGGTGACGCAGCGGCCGCCAGCTCCGACATGTCCACGGTAGCTGACGTAGGTGATGCCGACGCGGTCGACGTGGGCGGGGTCGACGGGGCTGGGGG